ACTTTGAGCCAAGGAAAAGGATTTACGAAATATCAATCTAATACATTTACAAACACCTAAAACCCACGGAAATTGAAGTGTCCACAAGTTAAGGAGCCATATTTAACTATAATAAGAAGAGAGACACCGTATCAATTAGAAGAAACTGTACATCAATCACCTAAGGGCTTGCAGAAAAGTCATCAATGAGCCAACGTCCCTCTTCTCCGAAGGATACTTGATGGGCTTCGATGAGTGTTTTGGGAAAAACAAAATTGTAGGAAAGCTGCCGAGTTGCAGTTCTTGTTGGGCAAATGCCTTCTGATCACCATCAGCCCTGAATTTCCCCACCTTCACTCCAGTCCCAGCCAACTTCTCAGCCAGTTCTATGTAGGATTCTTCCATTGCCTGGACAGAAGTGCAAACCAATTACTTTAGATACTAAAATCAACAATAAAACTACAGGCAAAAATTCAATTTCTCATCCAGATGCTCAGTGTTCGCAAAGGCTGTTTACCTGGCAGAAGCGGCACCAGGGCGCATAGAGAACAACAAGCCAGGATTCTCTTCGATTATCCAGTCTAGCCAAGTTCTCTATTCCAGTTCTACTCAATGCCACCAAGTTCTGGCTATTGAAAAGGTCAGTTTGTGCGGAATTTCCATTTCTCTGGACAACTTTCGATTCATTTCCAATGTCACTAAGTTCAGGCACCTCTATCTGCTTGATATTCCCCTTGTGAAGGCCGCACTCTTTAGCTTTGGCATCCTCCCACCACCACCTACCTTCCCTTTCATGTTGTCCTGGCAGAACTGGCCTTGTGCATGGCTCACATCCAATTGAAACATAACCTTGTGCGTGCAAAGAGTTGACGGGAACATTCATGGCCTGAAGGAAGCTCCATACTTCATGGCCTTCCAAGTTGGCCATGGGATTCCACTTCACCAAGCTACCAATCCCCCCACCCATTCCTTCAAAGGAGGGGTCTACTTGAACAATTGGAATATCTGCCCTTGTGCCGGGAGACTGATCTTTCCTTTGTCCAGTGATCCAAGCTCGGAGACCTTTAAGGGCCTTTCTAAGGGGCCTAACTTTCCTGACTCTGCAACACTCCTGGTGTCCATCTTCATAAAAAGAGAAGAGACCCTTATTCCTTACCAGTCCCTGAACTTCAACAGCATCTGGGAACGTGTACTCAATGTGAATGCCATAATGCTTCTCAACGGCGCTAAAGAACTCGTATGTTTCTGGATTTAGCCTCCCAGTATCAAGACTGAACACCCGGAAAGGCCTCCCAGTTAATTTGGCATACTCAATCAAAGCGACATCCTCAGCGCCACTGAACAAACATGAATTAACTAAAATATGAGTTCCCATGTAAAGATATATAACCACAACCACTGGAAGAAGAATGTGAAATTTCCTAATTAATGAGGCATCACCTGTATAAGTGCAAGTTGTAGGTACTCATGTTAAGGTGTTTCTTACTAGATTTCCAACACATCAAGAGAACAATGAATTATTTTACACTACGCTAACTAATTTCGAATTCAGTTAGATCCTAAATGTTTTTACCACTACCTAACCGTTTGCCTCCCCATATGTCAACCTCTGACTCAGATTCTACTTCCTGGGTCTTCTGCCCGGCAAAACACCCACAAAATATATAATCATTAAAGTTTATAAATAAATTTATTTCCCAGCAATGCTGGAAGGTTTGATAGAAAATCAATGATCAGAGAACGACTTTTATTCTCCATTTAACTAAAAAAATGTCTACCATTATCATGGCAACTTCCTGTTATTAATTAAAGAGACTTGCTGTATTATTAATACCTCAATGGAAAGAAGATTTGAGAAGTGTGAATAAAGGTACCTAAAGGCAATGGCAATATCATGGCCAAATTTCTCAAGAGCCTCATCCACTATTTCAAGTGGAGAAGAATTTTCCATCTCCTTTATCAATTTCTCAAAATCCTCATTCTCTGTCGCATCAACTTCTGCCAATTCCAATAAGAAAGCACATATAAGTCCTTTAGTAATAGGGAAAAAGGGAAAAAACATATGCAAGGAAAAAATCACACAGCTGGTTAACTGAATAAACAATTAAACAAGATGGACAGTCACGCTTAAGAAATAAATTTCTTCAATGTCTACATAGACTCGGTGATTACTCTTCTCACTCATAACAAAATGACAAGTATCATAAATTTTTAAAGAGTCCTTAATGCATACGAGAAAGAAGTGGTCTCAACTGTAGCAACTAGCAAAGAAATTTACCTGGACCAACGGCAATAGCAGCAAAAGTAACACTTGAGTAATTCTTTTTTGGTTTCATACAAACTGGTTTCATTATGCATTGTCTTTGGTATGAATTGCCTACTCCTTTTGGACAGATCCATCCAAGTGATTGGCAAACTGAACCAAATAATGAAGCTGCACAAAACAACATTGGAAAAGCTGAAGGGGGAATTGGAAAGATTGGACATAAATCAGTAGATATGGAAAAGGGACAGATAGAGGAAGAAATATAAAACCACATATTCATTCATCTACAATATTTTTTCCTATACACAATCACTGACCATGTTTTTATTCTTAATCAGTTAAGCAACATGTATTGAATATTCCACACTGTTAAACCATACCTAATTGTTTTAATGGTGAATTTAAACTTCTGATATCACATGGACAAAATTGCAGGGTAGCCAAAAGGACTAAGATTTTAAATAAAGTATTTGTTTGTCTTCTGAAATAATAATGTCTTTCTTTCGTGATAAACTGATTCCTGACTATGAAAGCTTTAATATCACTTGTTAGACTGAGAAATGACCGGAGATAGCCTTATCCCTGGATCCTAAGACACAGTAAAAGCTCAAACCTTGCATAAACGGGGAGAGTGGAATGTCATTTTGGTCCTATGACTAACACCCATATATCTCAGGAAAAAGCACTACATAGGGGACAAGAATTTCACAGGACGCTCATTAAATCTACCCGTCCAATGAACCAACATGCTGTCCCAATGTCTACATTAATACAAATAATGCTTAAGTCAAACTATTGCAGCAACATGAGATTGAACAAATTAAATCCTGACACATCTAAATACAAAATCTTGGATAGCGACCATTTCATCTATCATTTGTCACCGAAGTAGTTTACAAAATGACATGGTCGATTAGTTCAAGAAACACAAACAAACAAATAAATAAACGAAAAAGACAGATGGCTGACACCCTCCATTGTTATAAAATGACAGAAATGGCATGCCACCGTTTCCTTTAAAACCACGCTACTCTCTGAAATTAAGAAAATTATGGACACTGCCAATAGAATAGAGACCTTTTGAGTGGCACAAATCAAGTTATTTCAAACTAAACGCAAGCTTTTTGTATTGTACTGCAACAGTTTCCCTTCTCACCACAAGAAAATGAAATTACCACCACATTTATTACATTAATTAGCATAGTCATCGAATGATCAAATCTGATAAATCTCCATTAATTTCGGTTAGATGCTCCACAACTCAAAGAATTTGTCAATCGCCACATTTTCACAACTTTCATATTTCATCATTATAACATCTCGTTTTCGCGCGTTCTCGGAAACATGAGAGCCGCGTAACTTATTTTCCTGAACTATTTACCAGATTCAGAAAATTAAATGAATATCCAACCATCAAGCTTGAACACACGCCGAAAAAGAACTTGAAGAAAAGGTGAGATGTAAAAGCATATATACCTTTGAGTTCGGGAGAAGGAATTGAACCGCCGGCCCGACAAGATGAAGAAAAAGAAAGAGCCATTTACAAGAGTGAGAAATTCCTGAAAATGAAAGGCTCTGTTTTAGGGTGAGAGCGATCGTTAGTGTCTGCTGCGTGAAACTGCGTGAAAGGGAAAGCAGGGGCACGGACAGTAAATATCGGCTGAGAAGGAGAGCATTTCTGGTTCATTGAACCTGGACGTGGTTCCACATATTGATGACCATTTGTCTTTTCCTTTTTACACGTGGCAGCTCGTCAGTTTTTTGCATTAAAAATTATTTTTTTCAGCCAAAACTGATTTTTTAACAAAAAAATAATAATTATTTGGACAAAAACCGCTAATTTGTAGGAAAATTTATTTATAGGATAAGGTTTTAGTTATTTCCTCATTTTCATCCGATTTAATTGTTACAAATACAATATCTTTATACTTATTATTAATTAGTACAAAGTTGACTGTGTATTAACCAAAATTTTGATTTCTTGATACAATATCACTTGTCATAAATAATTGGAGACAAATAAATTGTAAAATTGTTTTCTTTTGACCAAAAATTTATATTTAATTTTTAATGTATTATAATTACATCAATTAATATAAATTAATTATTAAAAAATATTTATTTTATCTAAAAATATAATAAATTTATAAAAATTTATTTCATCTTAATCATCGCAGCTACACCTACAATCTAATGAATTAAAGTTTTAATTTTATCAAATTAAATATTACAAATTAATTAATTTTTTTCCGTGATAGAAATAAAAAGTTCAAATCACCAAAACGTTACGCTATATCAATATTAATTATAAATTATTTCTTAATTTAATAATTGGTACTTTTTTTCTTCTATTAAAAAAAATTATATATTCAAACAAAAGTGTGTACTTTTGTGTATTTATTAACAAATTATATTGCGATGGGTGTAAATATGTTTCCTAGTGAATAAAATGTGTATTTAAACCAAAAAAAAAAAAAGTTATATCAGCATTTGAAACTATAAATGGTAAAATTATTATTTGGTTATATAGCTTATACAGAATTAGGAATAAAATTTTGACTATTTGTCACCATGCCACTTATAATAAATAATAATACAGTTTTATCCTACTGAAATTATTTTTAAAAAATACATACATGCTGATGTTTTTTAACTCTTTTATTATTATTGCGAATAATTTTATAAATAATTTTTTAAATTTTAACTCTTAATTTTTTTTTAAATCTTAATAAAAATAAATAATAAACACCTCGTATTATACAAAATAATTTTTCTATTATGTATTAATTACTATCAAGAAAAAGAAAATGATTCCTAAAATCTTACATGTTATTTGAGCCAAACTATTGAACTCCAAACAACTTTTTCAGTAGCAACTTGAAGCTCTCTTCATTGAATCCTTGATGAGATACAATTTGCAACTGAGAACAGAGTATCAAGACTCTGAAAGGATGCAAATGCTTGAGAATCTCTGGATCTCGATCATAATCCTGATAACATAAATACAGTCTATTTATTCTAGAGAACATATCCTTCACCATCTAATGATAAAAACATGCATATATCTACACACCTTTTCTGTTAAAACAACAATTGGTTTAACACCAAACTTGTACTCGAGTTCCCTAAGTCGATTCATGATCATCTCGATGTCCTGAAGTCATCGATAATTTGAAGTCCAGTTCAGATGTAAGGAAATAGTGCAACCAAAAGATAGATCATGATTATTATGTTAAAATTAAAAAATAAAAGAGGCGATATATAGAGTAACCCAACATGTTTACAAGTTATTACATATCTCCATACTTGAGGAATTAACATCCCCTGATACCATTTCATGCCAATCATGTCCATAAATGGGCATGCGTAGTTAGGGCCAAGGTATGAGAGAAAACAGAGAGCTTTGATAACATTTTATGATAACGAAGTTATTTGGATTGGCATTTTCTAGTATTTACATCTATATGGCCTTTAGTCCCAATTTAATTCATAGTTCATAATGCTCTAAACTTAAAAAGTATCTACAAACCTCAGTTCTTTTTCCATTTTTAAACTCTAAATACCTGTCTAAGTATAATAATTTACAAAATTAAGAGTTTTAAGCTGAGACTTTAATAAAATAATAAAAAATAATAATTTTACTCACCCTTCTAATAAAAAATTCCTAAATATTTTTCCATTTCAATAGAACACGTACAAATAATTTCAATTAAACTTTATCAACATAAGAATTACCGGAAACTCCTAAATCTAATATAGTTGTAAATTTGATTTTGATGCGGGATATAGCAATAGAAAATAAGAGCCGAAGGCTCTATGTTTAAAGTTTTTTTAAAAAGACTAGTCACAGAAGTGTTCTTTCTCCTCGCTCAAAGCTCAGCAGTTTTTAACACTTTTAATCTTTAATCTCACCATAGTTTTCAGCCAAAATGTACTTCAAACACCTTGAACCACAGAAATATATATATAAGAATCCAAACATCCTGAATAAATTATAACTGGTTTTCAAAAAAACTCAAAGCTAGTAGGAAATAACCCATTTATTATTTATAATGTATCTTAACAACTATGCTTAGGATACCGTATAGTTCAATTAGATTGTGATTCATGATCAAATAGCAGCCTAGAAAGGATAGTACAGAAAATCTTGGACAATGGTAATGGGAAAGAAAAGATTAAATTACTTATTTCTTGCTAGACAAATCAAAAGTGACAAACTAGAGCATCTTGTATCTTAAAGAAGTCAATGCAACTTAATACCATAGACAGTGAAATAATACCTTCACTTGAAATGACAAACTAGAGCATCTTGTATCTTAAAGAAGTCAATGCAACTTAATACCATAGACAGTGAAATAATACCTTCACTTGAAATATATGATGGTCACTGAAGTCAAGTTGATCAATATAACATGCTCCTGTCTGCAACAAACTATTTTTCACTAAGAGATCACCTTAAAATATAATTTAAAAATAATTTATTTGAAAGAAAAATATTTAAGGAAATGAGAAAAGGAAGAGAAAATAATAAAATTATCTCAATACAGGTCAACTTAGGTGGAAATTAGATGCAAGAAGCATCATATGAAAGGGCATGAGGTAAAAGAAGAGAGCACCTTCTGCATTCCAAGGACAAAAGCATCAGATGAACCAATTGCTGAAACACATAATATGATGGCATTATAGACATCTTTTAAAGGTACTTTCAACTTGATATTTCTCACGTCAAAGAAATGTGTAGGAGCCATTCTAGTGTAGAAAATAGGCACAGATTCTTTAAATTCTCGTATCATTAACTCAATATCTTTCAGATTTCGTTCTAATACCTGTGAGAGTTTAAGAATGAACTTTCAGTCAAAGTACTTATATAATCATATGCTAACATATCTACACAAAAAAGCAGATTTAGGCACTCAAAACAAGTTAAAGGAAAGGTACATTGAGTCTAAAGAAAATCAAAAGCTATATGCATGCACCAGATTGAATAATTCCTGAAGAATTAGAGATTAATAAAAGGAGTGGTAAAAGTTACTTTTCTATACCAAGTCAGCATGGTGAACTACTGCAACATCAACTCTTCTAAGTGCCACCAAAGGCTCCCTTAAAGGACCAAGTGGGAGCAGCTTAAGGTTTCCCCATGGCCTTAAACCATTAACCATCACAATCTCCAAGTCACGATACAAGCTCCAATGCTGTCTTTCATATAACAAAATATAAACAAAAGAATCAGCACAACAACTTCACGAGTAAAAGTATTTGTCCTTCAAGAGTTTACTGTTAAACACCAGCTAACAGAGGAAACTATCATTTATTCCACAAAATGGTATTGGAACCCACTATTATGCTTCAACCGCGGCTCATTTCACCCCAGAAAGAAAAAGTATGGAAAGTTAGTCGTATGAAGGATAGATAAGTTGTATAACAGGACAGATACATACAGTGTAGATGGCACCACACTAACGGAAGAAAATTAAGGAAACTATTATACCTGCATTCCATCATCCAAAATTACAGCACTGATTTCCTCGCCAAGAGAGGTCACTGCATCCTGCGAAAGGCAGGTTATACCAGAGCATGTCTTACCACGAGGATCTGTATACCCATGCTTTTTAAAGAATGAATAAGCAGTAGCTGCCCGATTTGCACCCACACCAAGCTTCGTAGGTCCCCCTTGTCCTAGAAGATGCCTCTCAAGCATTTTGGCTTCATCTCCACCAGCATAACCCTGCCAGAAAAACAATTATCACTTAAGTTAGTGATGCAGAATAGGAAGCTCCTAAAATAGATATATTTCAATAATAGGATATATATAAGACAGAACCAGTAAAGGAGATAAATGTCTTGGGAAATTAACTAAAAAGAGTAAGAATATTTAATTTCTTTTCCTAATTTTCGGAAAATTTTACAATAAAGGAAAATAGTAAGATTTATTTTCAAGTCCTAGAGTTCTTATTTTCCTATTTACTAGGTTTTATAGATTTTCCATTGATGTACTTTGGTGCCTATAAATTAGATAACTTAACTTAGTTATTAGGTCGACTACTTATGATTATCATTTAAATTTGAGATATTATTTTGATTATTGAGATCCAAGTTTTGTTCTTAATAAAATTTCCTTAAGTTTTATCTTCAAGTTCATTTTGTCTTACATCAGTTAGTTAAAAACAATGTAATGAACCTTTAACCCATACATGCCACCGTATCGACTTATGCTTAATTTATAATTCTGGTTCAATTTCTTTCTTTTCCAACAGTTATTACACAATGAAGAAATCCTACACAACCTCATTTCTACTTCTTGTTGACTATACTACTCTGCCGCATTAGTCCATATGCTACCAACACCTTGATTATAAGTGTAGAACAGACATAAGTTACATAATAAACATAGAACCATAGCACACTTTGAATTACCTCTCAATCAACTGAACTCACTATATAGTTCCTTAGGTATCAACCCTGAAAATTTTTGGCCATGACCATTATCCCTTGGTAATTTTTAACACAAAACTGAAATGGCTTTGTAGATTGTACCAATTTCCATAAAATTAAGAAAATCATAGACAAAGAGAAATACCCTAGTTAAAATGAGAGGCCGTACTCCTGAATCAGCTAAGCAACGAGCCATGTACTCAACCATAGGCGTCTTCCCATTACCTCCCCACGTCAAATTCCCAATGCTAATCACAGGTACCGGCAACCTTCCATATCAAATAGCAGATATAACTAAATCTTATTGAAAATAATTCAACGCCAGTCCATTTCAGGTTTGTGGATGCTGTTATATATATATATATATATATATAGAGAGAGAGAGAGAGAGAGAGAGAGACATACAAAATAAACATGCACAGATGGCGAGAAAGAGCAGAAAACTGCTTAGTAACAAACTCAGACTAGCAAAAAGAAAGGATTTGAAGTCGATAACATGTCGTATCAACAACTCTCCCTTCGTTTAAAATTAAATTTAAAAAATAATGATAATACATAACTAATTGGCTTAATTTAACTCGAAACTATCCTTTTAATTTCGTTCGAGACGAAAATTATAAGAGAAAAAAAAAACTCCTCAAACCGAATAAGAACATGGCTTAATTAATGCTATGAAGCTTGCCTTTGTTTGGAGAAGAGACCAAGGTGGTAGAGATAGTAGCGGAACGAGAGAACGACACTGTAGATAGAGGAGGCGAAAGATAACAATGGAATGAGAGAGCGGTGGACTGCAGAGAGCTTAGCGTAGCTTTGCGCGTATGCGATCTCATTCGCCACTCTCCTCAGTTTCTCCATCGAAGAGCAAAAGAAAAGAAACTGGAGGTGAGGGTACGGACCAAAGAGAAGTGTAACAGAAAAAATGAAAAAGGAAATTTAGGAAAATTAAACAGCGGGAGTGGAGGGGAAAGCGAGAAGCTAACCCAAATTTTTGAAATAAATAATAATAAAAGAAGCAGAAACCTCATCAAATTTCCTAATTAGTTATTTTTTATCCTATCTTTTTACCTATTTTAATTTTTTATTTTTAAATTTTTACAATTCCCCTTCGTCACTAATTATTAATTAAAAGTTATTAAATTCTGAATATGTACCTAATAATAATTATATATATAATTAATATCGTAATATATAACATGACAGTCACGTGAAATTAAAAATTTAAAATTTTATTGATGTTTTTTAAAAAAATTTCTTTACATTTATTTCTTCTTCATTCATGCACTTTTTCTTCTTTAGAGTCAAAATTTAAAAAACCTCAA